TGGCTCCCACCACTTAATCTGTACCTCCATTTAGGAGTGTTGGTCTCCCCAGTGTTGTTGGCAATGCCATGGGTGGGGCTGCTCATAGACTGACATCTTCATGAATGAAATTTATGATATTGTAAGCACTTGCTAAGTTTCTATTGTACAAACAGAAAAAAAAATTTGGCAAAATTCCTGCTTCACGTAATATAAAAGAAAAAGTCATTGATTTTCAAATAGATTCTTGTGTAATTTATTACATTATTTAGCGCATGCCAAGGAAACAATAGCATCTTGAAGGCCCTCATTAGGTAGTTGTTACAAAGCAAACTATTACTTGAGCACGTTTAATTACTCAAATATTAAATTAGTAAAATTCATAATATTTTATTTGCTATACTGTGATCTCATTGCATTACATTCTCTCATTTATAAAGCATAGAAGTTTGAAACTTGAAAATTAAATAATTTTATACCCACTCTAAGGCAATGGAAAAGTGTTTCTTTTTCTTTTCCCACATGAAAAGGTGAATGTGTTGGTAGTCACTTGTGAAAGACTTCCATATTGATTTTATCATTCACAAATAAGAAAGCTCTTCCAGTGAAGGCCAGACGTGGCTCAGCACGGAGGATGGCCTGGCGTGTGAGGCTGCAGCACGGAGTGGAGGGAGGAATGTGCCTATGGCCACCTTGCAGTCCACAGTGTTTGCAGCCTTCCCAACGCTGTGTCCACCTTGTGCTTACTCAGGAAGGAACCAGCACAGAGCCCTTGTGATGGCTCCCGGGCTTAGCAACCATGTGTGTAGCTGGGATAACACCCAAGAGATGTTGAGCAGTTCCTATTTTTACCTAATAAAATCTGACTTTTCTTCAAGCCCAGGTTAGATGCTGTCCTCAGCACTGATCTTGGACTCTTGTTTTGTCTGTATCGTAGAACTTCACTACCTCCCCTTATGTAATTGTAGTTATTTATCTTCATTCTCCAGTTACATTTTAAGAATCTTCAGGTGGGGCATCTGCTTACTTACCTTCTTTCAAGCACACAGTGTGCCTCACAATGTATCAGACAGATTACTTATGTAAGACATATCTGGTGGATTTAAATAACCATGAATCAAATCACCAACCCTTGTGTTAGTCAACTTTCCACCACTGTAACATAATACCCTCAATAATCAACTTAAAAAGATGAAAGGTTTATTGACACTCACAGTTGGAGAGGTCTCAGTCCATGGTCTGTTAGCCCATTGCAGTTGGGACTGAGGCAGCATGTTATGGTGGGAGTGCGTGGTGGAGGAAGCCCTTACCTTATGGCCAGGCACATCCCCTTTAAGGATATGTCCTGGAGACCTACAGCCTCCCACTGGGCTCTGTCTGCTAAAGGTCCCACCACCTTCCGATAGCACCACGGTGAGGAATAAGCTTTAAACACATGGGCCTATGGTGGATGTTCTTCCTTTCATCTTCTTTATTCAGCCCATGGAGAAAGAGGGTTGTGATAGGTCTCCTGAGGGACCATTTCTAGAAAGTTTCTCTGGCCCTCTCAGGATTTAGATAAAAAGGTGTCACTGCGGCTTTGCTCCCTGTGAGAAGAATCCTGGGAGGGGTCTCTTTTTCCTCATACTGACCACTGGGAGAGAGGAAGCCCATTCTCCCCAGGAAGCAACTGTGCTTTCTCAGCATAGCTCTGACTTTTGCTTGCAGTTAGGGCACAGAGGGTGGGTGTAAGAGCAGTGCTCAGATTAGAGAGCCTTGGCTTCAAAAGCTCTGGTATAAATTTTGGGAGAAACTCACAGTAGCCCACTGATTCTTCTGTCTTTAGTCTAGACAAAAAGACATATTTGTATGCTCCTGAATAGCTCTTCGAAGAATTTATTGCAGGCTGCAGCCCAATTCCTAACTTGTAATAAAACGTCCCTTTATCCTGCTTTTTGCTTAGTGTGTGTATCGTACTGGAAGCCCCTTACAGAGAGGGGCCTGATCTATGACCTGTTTGGTGTCTGAGACCTGTTCCATAGTCATGAATCTTAATATCAATAAATCAGCACCACCATGGCCAATTTTGAAATAATCCACCTAAGACACAATCTATTGTGGCTTGGATAACTACCCTATTGGGCAGTCCGAATTCATGTCTATGTAAAAATAAAGAAAAATGCTTTGCAATGTATAAAGATCTGTAATATATTACTACACATATTCTGTATAATAGGGTATCTCATCTCCACTCTAAGGCTTTTCTGATCTACTTTGCTTCCTTCAAAATAACTCAATTTTGTAGCTATGTTGAACCCTTTTTTCTGCCTTCAGAACTCATTTTTATACCCTAACTCAACTCCAATCTGGGTAAATGTTGTTTTCTTTTCTAAAACAGCCTCCACCACTTCCTAAGTTGATGAACTCTGTTGTGCTTCCATACTCAGCTCTGGTGGAGAAATTATTTGTCCTGCCTCCCCTCCAACTCCCTGCCAGGAACCCCCCATCCCCACATGCATGAACAAACATAAAACTTCCTCTAGTGCACACATTCATCACATAACTTATGACGTTCTACTTGTGAGTTTGTTTCATACTGAAGCCCTATTCTAAGGTCAATTCCATTTAAATATGGTGGGTCTTCTATCATTACATTGCTGTATTTTTCAAAGTGGCCAGTATGTAAAAGCACTTCATTTAATGTAGTCTATTCAGTGGATATTTAGACAATAGAGAATTGGTAAGGTGGGTAGTGTATGGTCAGCATCCTGGGGGCAGGAGCCCTGAGGCACAGGGCTAGGGCGGGGGAGAAAAGACAGAAAAGCAAATAGCCTTGATGGGATGGAAGGTGGGTCAGGAGAAGACTGAACAGATCAAGTGCACTCTGAGAAGCTTGACAGCTAGGTTGAAGAATTTAGGCTTGAATCAATAAGTGATAGAAGTTTACAACCTGAATATTTGAATTGACCATCAGTGAAATAAATGGGCTGTGGAAAACTGAGAATTGTGAGTAGTAGGACTAAATGAAAAGGAAGACAATGAAAGTTAAAAGGAAAAAGAGCTGAGTGATTCGTTGATATTATTTGGAAAGTTGCATTACATACCTTAATGCTCGATCTATAAAGACTTTAAACTCTATTTAAAATAGTCCTCTAATCCTTGAAGCTAAGTTGACAAGATATATGAGAAAATTTTGATACATGGTAATGGTTCAATAAATATTTGCTGAATCTCAACCTTAGGTCTTTCAAGTCAGAATTTCAAAATATTTTTCTCATCAGAATTTTGCCACTTTGTATTTTTTTTCATGTCCAAGAGTTTGTATATATATTCCCTTTTTAAAATCTAGCTCTGTGTTGATAACCATAATTTCTTCGATTATATTCATTAGACGTTTCTGAGTTCGCTTTGCTTTTCTACATTACAAAGAAAATTGTGAAAGTCGGTTCCCTCTGTGTTTTCTTTTATGCTTAGGTTTGTGTCTCCCTTTTATGTTGATTCTCCAAATCTGCATATAATAGGAGATTCTAAATAATCAGGTCAAAAGCCGTGTGTGAGTGGCTGTTTGACTGGACCAGGCTTTATCGCGCGGTGATGCAGCCTTGTATTCAAGCCCTCTCCAAGGGCGGGCGATTTTCTGGGAACTCTGTCTTTTGAGAAGGTAGAACCCATCTTCTGAAGGGTGAGGGGCAGCTGCTGGCTCTCTCGGGGTGTGAGGGGCAGAGCAGGGAGAGTGTAGCAGCGGGGCTGAGGCCGGAGTCCCATCCGGGACCGCCTGGGAGCAGAGCCCCAGTGTAAACCGATCTGAGGACAGGCCGTCCGTCCCGTGCGTGTGCGTGCGTGGTGCGTGGGCCTGCTGGCTCTCTCTGTAAGCATCTAACCTCCTGGCCCGCCCCTCCCGCAGTGCCTGTAGCTTCCCTTCCTGTGCTTTCCTGGTCTGCAGGACAAGGTGCTTCCTTTGGCTTCGGCACCTGACTTTGAGCTTCCCCCACTCCTCTCCACCAGCGATGGGCCTGCCTTCTTCCCAGCTGCCGAGACTTGGCTGTTTTCTTCATCCGTTCTTTCGCCTTTGGTTCTCTTTCTTCTTAAGGGTTTACAACTTTTTTTATTCATTTATCATTATTCTACTGGATTCAGGTGAGGGATTTCAGCAATTCCCCATGTTATAATAAAAGCACATCCACAATCTTAGATGTTCTGTGAGTTTGTATGGGTTTTGAAAGTGTGGTCTTTTCTGCTGACCATATCAAAGGTAGTCATAATGATGCTAATAATGATTAGTGCAACAAGGGACTTCTACTTTTGGTTGTATTTTTATCGCCACCATTATTAAAGGACACTTGTTCCTTACAGCCGCCGTGTTAAATGTTTTATATCTATAATATTACATATATAAAATATAGGTGTTATATATAAAGTATTATATATAAAATAATATATGATATAAAATACTATGTGTTATATACATAATATTATAAATGTTCCTCCTAACAACCCTGTAAAACTCACATAGGCCAAGTGACCTGGTAACAGAACACGGCCAATAATGGCCAGGGCGAAGCTGAGATGCGAGTGAGGTTTGGGATGATTCAAAACCTCCATTTTTCATAGTTTCTGTCCATTTTTAGGGTGGTTGAAGATTTGAAGAAAACACATTATAATGAGAACTGCTTCTACTGGTTGCTTTCTTGTTTCTTTTGAGAGGATGATAGTTTAAATGAAGAATATTTTGCTTATGTGATGGATTTTGAGTAAATTGACATCTTTGATTTGTAAATTAATCATTCCACGTTGTCTGTATTTACAATATATTTGAAATTCATGCAGATTCCACAAGGGCAGTTGCAGTGTCTTGATTTGCTGAACAGGAAATGGAGATTCATCCAGTCGCGCACAGGCAGTGTCCGGGCTGGGAATGGAGTCCAGGCATTCTGACTCCACACTACCCGGTGCTTTCACAACACCAGCTCTCCAGAGCCTTAGTTTTTAGAATCAAGTGTCTTAGAAACTGAATTAAGAAAATTACTTGAATATCATTTCAGGTTTCTGCCATTTTCTTCCCACCATAAAAAAGAAAAGTACATGCCATCCCTGTTTTCCTCAAGCAAGTACGACCCCATTTCCTGCAGAAAACAAGGCTTCCGGAGTGAAAACCCGGGGAAATGGATCTGTGACAAGGTGAGCTAACAAAACACGGGAAATGGAGCTCCTTTCAAAGGGTTAAAAAATATGCATTGATTACAGCAAATATGAATATTCTTGTTACAATTAAGACCTTCCTGGTCACAAAATTATATATAGCTACTTTATTAAAGATGGTACGACTGACCTACGTTAAAGAGAGATTTAAATCACTTTTCCATTATTGTTGTTCTTGCGTCTTTCCTGTTCACGTGCCCCTTGACTGGGGCATGGACTTGGCCTCTGGCATGGCGTCAGGGTGGCAGTGCCTGAGTGTGAAGAGAATGGGGGTGACTCTCAGGCATGGAGACCAGCGCATGGGTGGTCACTCTCACTCTGCATCAATGTGTGCGTACAGCTTGGTGTTACCTGAAATAAGGCCACTCAGATCTTACTTCTGCGTGGAATCAAAACGGTCAAACACAGAAGTAGAGAGCAGAGTGGTGGTTACCAGGGACCTGGAGCTAGGGTAGGGAGAGTCTCTCTGCACGGGCTTTGCCCCCGGGCTTTCTGAAAGAGTGTCCCTGACCTGCAGGCCCTGCATGGGGTCATCCTACCCTCCGCAGCCTGAGCCTTGAAAACCAAGAAGGAAACAATTTTGCCCTCTGTACCTGTGGTGGAAGTGGCAGCCCCAGGGACTTCCAAATTGGCGGTAGGGTCATTCCTGCCTTCCTTGTAGAACAGTGGGCCAGTTGTACAGAATCCAGGGAGTCCCATGGGCCACCTTCATTCTGTCCAGATCCTCAGTCCTGTAGTTCACATGGGCAGCGTCGTTGCTGCTGTAATCCTGTCTCCACGCCTGGCGTCTGCTGACATGGCTGATGAAGTCCCTGCATTGTGCTCACTATGTTTTTACGATCTATTAGTCAAAAATGTTAGTAGGCACTGAGAATAAGGGGATGAATAAAATACCATGTCACATGTTCATTTAGCAAATGTTTTTGTGTTCTTAACTCAACATCACTCACAATTTTTTATATGATGTCATTTAAACTCAAGTATTTCCTTAAAGTTATTTCCTGTCTCCCACAAAGTCACATTGAGAGTTACATTTCAGAATGTGAATTCTGGGGGCTCACAGTTCCATCCTGACTTTGTGACATACATGTATGTACACAGCACAGTAAGTGTGCGTTACGTATGTGTGCATATGCGTACACGTAATGTGATTTTGTCTTTGTGCTGTCCACATAGATGGGGGAAACTTTGACAGTTAAACAAAAAAGGAAACCATATCATAGTCCAAGAACATCTTAGAATAGTTTCTGTTTCTTAAAAACATCTAGTGTGAGCATCATTTCACTGTTACAGTCTTTCAAATCCTATCATTCATTTTGTAATATTTTATATCTACACCTTTTAAATTTACCTTTTCTTGGCTTGGATTAAAACTTTCGATAGGCCTATGATGAGTCAGTGAGGAAAGTAGTGAAGACAAATGCTCCTTACCCGTATTGAGAATTCAATAAGGGCTTTAGAATTAAGAACATTAGGAAGGAAGCAAATTATTATTTCTTACCTGATTTCAGGATATTTTAAACCTCTTAAATTAAAAAAAAAGTCTGAATTGGTAAAACACCAAGATACCATGTGATAGGAGATCAAAAAGGGAAAATTCTTACAGCAGACTCTGTAGCTTATTTATAGCAGAATGTACACGGATGCAGTGAAAGGGGACTGGCTTTCTAGATGGGATTTGGGCTTCTGAGCTGCCAGTGCCCCCGACGTGGGGCTCTGTTCATCTCTTGTCAGTGAAGAGCCGTTGATTTGCGCAGTACTTTCCAGAGAGGATTTTAGGATCCTTATTAGAAGTCAAATACAAAGAGGGCATGATGCAGAAATAAAAACAAAGGAAAATTATCTTAGATGAGAAGAGTTTATATGCACACACAATGAAGGGGAGCCATTAACATGGAGGTCAGCAGTTTAGGAATTCCAGCCTTTGACTGGCCAGGACGAAGAGCAACACAAACAACAGGCAAACCCTCATTACCCCAGAGGAAGAAACTTAGACCCGCAAGGAAAATGTGACCATTCTTTCTTATAAGGACAATGTAATATTGGATTGCAAAAATGGGTACAGTGTGCTTGGGGCTAATGGGGAGAGTTTGGAATGGAATCTTTTTTTCTTTTATAACCACTAAGTAGTTTTTTAAAATGTCTTCTAAACCACTAGCAATTTCATGGGAGGAGGAATATATACAGTGAGTATTTTGATCCAATTCACCCTTGGTTCCAAGACAGTTTTAAAAAAATATTTATTTTAAAAAATTTTTAATAAATCATAGGCTCTCCTTAACCCTACCAAAAATGTAGAAAATACTAAATACAAATTTACATATCTCCCTCCCTCCAAGCCTTCCTTTCTTCTTTCTTCCTTGTTTTTCCCATCTTCTCATCTCTTCAAAAAACATATTAAATAAGCAAATTATCCCTCTGTGTGGCCAAACTTGGAAAGTGGAGACCATAAGTTATTTCTTATTAGTGGATTAAAGATAGTCTCAGGGAGACTAGAGCTATTAGGTTCAAAAGGACTGAAGGGAGATAGGACTGCCGTGGATTCATGGTGGCTGCATGGGGAGAGGGAGGCGTCAGCCACCCTGAACTGTGTGCGATTCAGCTGCCTGCACTAGACTGATCTCAGCTGAGAAATGGCTCCATTGACTCTATTTGGCTCCCATTCTCTGATTTTTCTACTTTGTTTCAAAACTGTTTACGTGAAGAATTTACTGTCTCTTTTATTATCTTTAAACATGGAAGTTATAGCTTGCAGAAGATTCGTTAGCCAGTTATGTTAAAGGCTATCCTTTAGCAGAAAATAAAATATGAATTCAAAATTCTTTGTCTAATCACACTTACATTAAATAAATATCAAACATTTAATTTTCCTCTTATTCTTAATGCTATCAATCTGGAGTACAATGTAAAGAAATCACAAAAATCAGAAAAGTGAGAATGAATCATGCAGGTTTTGCTAAAACTATGCAAGTCAATGACAATAACATAAATATATAATTTTTCTTTAACAAAGTGGAAATGAATAATAAAATCATGTACATGTTTTAGTCATATTTCTTTGATCTACCTGCAAGCTTCTTCCATTAAATTGTTTGATTCTGCCTTTGTTTTAAATGGTCAAACTTTTGAGTTCAGGTTAAAACTTTGTATTTATAAATTCTTTATTATACTGATTTCAACATGAAAAATAGGTGTGAAATTAAATAAGGAGAACCTACCAGTCAGTCACAATTACTTTAATCTATTTGAGTAGTCTAAAAGAATTGGACAATAAAAAATTCAGTGTACTAAAAACATTCTTTGGGTTGTCAAGACATTCACATATGTTCATATTTACTGAAGCAGAAATGATACTCTTAGCCTTTTATGTGAATTGGAATGAATTTCCATATGCATTTGAGTCAACTGATTTTAGTGGAACCATTTCATATTTTCCCTTGTTTACAAAATTCAGGAAGAGACTTTTAGGATGGAGCCTTTCCATTGATAGGGCCTTTCCTTGTATCCCTTATTATGGGTGAATTACAGCGGTCCAGCTGTCCTCTCCCATTATCTTCACATGCATTTTAGTTCTAAGCAGGATTTTATAAGCTACAAAGCATAAAAATATCCAGGACTCCAAAGAATTAATTTAGAGAACCTAAGCATATTGCACAGAACATAAAGTTGACCTTTCCTGTCTACCGCTTTTGGAATAGAGTGGGATGTGGAACACATCATAGACTTAATGTGGCACATCGTTGTCTGCAGAAACTTGGGTGGGGCTGTGACTGCTGCCCAAGGCACCCAGCAACTGAATCTGCTGTCACCAGCATCCTGATAGTAATGAACATTCAGCTTAACGGCCGTGATTATGATTATCATAATTGATGTGCAAATGCGGTGTGTGGGGATCATTACAGCTGAACTACACAGCAGAGAAACATGCCTCGGCTATGGGCAATTCCACTTTTATGCATTGATTGGGATAAAATATGCCTTTCTATTTCAATAGACCAGCTTCATGCAATTTTAAGACTCTTTCGGTCCATGGTGATTGATGATTATGCACTTGCTGAAAAACAGCCCCTTACAGTTGTTTGTTTTGTCTTGTTTCATTTCATTAGTGAATGTAAACAATTAAATAATTAGGCATAATTGAACAAAAATATTTTGCTTAGGAGAATGGCTGATGTGTGTAGAGAATCGGATTTAGTCAACTTCCATTTTCTTAGGGACAGCTAACGTTCCTTGCAGGTCATAGGTAATGCCAGGTGTTTTTAGGCATTCAACAAATACAGTGCCTGCTGTCGATCTGGCACTAGGCCAGGCATCATGGATGTCATCTTGAGCAAAAGCAAACATGGCTTTTGCTCCCACTGGCCATACAGTTTGCTGGAAATAATAGAAATTATGCTCCAAAGAAAGGGCCCCAGATCTGTAAGATTGAAAAGCAAAGAACTTTGGTTTTTCCTGGGAGTCTGGAGGAACTTCAGGAAATGATGCTTCCCCTGAGATGGGAGACATGGTCGTCAGGAACTAGACTCTGCGTGTGCCTGTGTGTGCGTGGGCAGGGTATGTACGTGTGTGTGTGTTTAGTGAGTGAGTGGATGAGCCTCTGAACAGAGGCATCAAAGTGCCAAACACCTGTGATTGTGCAGAGCACACACCTCCATCCCCAAGGAGCATGAACTTTCCAGTTTCAAGAAACTACAAAGAGGTTACAAAGGCTACAAGTGAGAGTGTGGGAGCGAAGATACTGAACAGCAAGACTGGGGGGTAAGCCAGGAATGGAACCCACAGATAAACTCCAGGCCACCTTAAAAATTTTGGCCTTTATTCTAGGAGACGTGAGGGGGTTCAACCAAAGATTAAAATGATGAGATGTGTGCTTTGAAATGCTCCCTCGGGTAAAGTATGAATAATGGATTTAGAGAGGTCAAAATGAATGGGGCAGAGACCAGTTCATGCAGTGGTCTAGGTAGATCGAATGGAAATTC